AAGCACTTCAAGTTATCAAATTGCTTTTGATTACTTACGTCTAAATAATATATCAACCTTTCATCACCCTGAGGAAGAACTTTTAAGGTATTCCACTGCTGATATTTTTTCTCCAAAAAAACCCACTCTATTTTTTTTCCTATTCTGTGTTAATTCAGTTTAATAATTGGATTTCTTTACTGTAATTCCTTATTTTCTATGCATTTCTTGAAATTTAATTACATAGAGACTGAGACTTGAAATTAAAGCTGATGTATTGAGTATTATGTTACTAGATCTACCTAAATACATTTTACAGAAAAAATTAAGAGGCTCCAGGAGTTCTGTTAATCCTATTCACACTGAATCTGCACTGCTTTAAGAAATAATTTGAAACTCTGCTAATATAGTTGTGCTTATGGGGAATATGTAATACAAATCTAGGCCTCTGTTCGCTTATTAGCTGCCAAAACATCTGTGTTACCATGTACAGTAGAAGTTCTATAGATAGGGTCCTTTTGAGGTACGTGCTTAAACCATTGTTTCTTTGAAGGCCACATTTGCAGCTAATGTAAGCATGGACAAGTTTACACTTACAGCAAGAAATCTGTCCCAGAACTGATACAGCCTGCCATCAATAAATGGCCCAAATTTGCAAACTCAGTGAATAGTTCTAGGATGAGCTGCTTTAACATGAAGTACACCGGCTCTTCCTGCAATCATTCACTAAATGGGTTTGTGCTCAGATAGTACTTTGACCTATGACATCCTCACTAAAATAGCCAAATAAGTCAAGGTAATACTTTTTGTGAGTCACAAGTCCTCTAGTGCCTTTTTTGTAACTATCAACATTTAGTTAATTTTCTGATCCTCAGCAGGAGAAAGTATCCTGAGGACTGTTCTACAGTGCAGGTCCCGTTTTCTTCCTGCCCCAAGCAGAGACTGCTTGCTTTTATGGGTTCAGGAGTACTTAGCTTTGGAAGTAGTTGTTGAATTTTCCCTGATGAGGAAAGACCAGTCCAGTGGAACAAGGAAAGACATCCTTTCTTGGGGCCAGGTAACCTTTGGACTCTAGAAACTCTTGCAATATTTTCTTTTTAGCTTTGTACAAAGACCTTTCACCTGACTAAGAGAGCTGGCTACAAATCTAGCATCCCCAGGGCATTCCTGAGTTTTCTTAGCTGAGGATAAGATGGATATATCTTACTTTTATATTTACTGAGCTTTCAACAACTCCAGAATAGCAAACAAAGGCCTTCTTTACGATTACTATCATCAGGAGTCTACTAGGAGGTTATCTCCCTATTCTTATTTCATCTGTGTATAAAGAACTATACAGAAACATTTCTCATTATGAATAAGCAAGTAATATGTGATGTCAAAACCCAGATTTTATGATGTAATTACTAATTACAAAGTATTCTGACTTCACAAGACAGATAGGTATGTTTGAGATTCTAGCAGGTGTTAAATTCAAAGTTACTGGATTGCCACTGGCTGCTTTGGATCTTACTCTGCCATTATTACTAATCCTCCTAATTTGCTTCATTAATAATTCCATTCATTTCTGGTATCCAACATGAAGATGGGAGGATCTGCTCCTTAGCAAGTATGAGCGTTACCCTTAAATTACATACTTAAATTCATACAGAGGTCAAATTCTGTAAAATGCAGTGCACGCTGTAGGTAGTTCCGCCCAGTCAATATTTTTGCCTTTTCCATGCTTACATGTATAACACATTCCAAAAGAGGTGTTGACAATTTGTAGAGCAACAAGTGAGAAGATTGGGATGAGCATAAGCTGATAAATGCTTCATGAAATAAAGTTTTGAAACGTGTTTGTTATCACTTGAGTTCTCTTTAAAAAAGTCAAATTTTCAGCCAAATGGAAAGAAAAAGAGGAACCTTAAAAACTGTAGTTCACTGGTGTTTTTTTGTTATTATATCTAGGGTAAATGTGGCCTAAACCACCAATGGACTGGGACAGCATTTTTTTATCATGTCCTCCTCCTTTTCAGTCCCTCCTGAACTCTGCTAGCTACAAATATCTAGGTGTAGCAGAAATGAAAATGTTTGCCCTTTTATATGAATTGAAGAGACAAATGTGTAAGACTAAATTTAGAATGAAGTGAAAGGATATGGTAAAGAATTGCAAACATGCCATTTAGTAACTCACAGCCAGTTGTGCAAGGCATCACTTATCATGACAAAATCATGATGAATTTCATACAAACCACATTTGTACTTTTTTACTGTTTAATTATTTGAGTAATTTAAAATTTTAGTCCAGAGATCAGCTAATGCACCTGTCTTATCTGAAAGACATCTCAAGATTCAGTTGCTAAGTTTAGGCAAGTAGGAATAATAGGAAAATATCTTCTCAAGCAAATACATACTTCTCAGCTGTGCATAGGTAGGGAGCAAAGTTAGCTGTTCTGAAAATCTACTTGCATCTTTATTACAACTGCCTTTTCCCTTCCTTCTGCATTTAAAATCTCTCTGTCATATCCTTACGTGTTGGTTTTTTTTTCCCTCCCCCACAGGCATTCGTGTTCTGTGGAGCAATCTGAAATAGCTGCTTTTGCTACCTTGACCAGAAGGAGCTGAAACCATGGATGGATAGATAGAGCTGTGTTCAGGAAAGGTTTGGAAACCCTTTGTTTACTTCTGATCCTTCCCTCTCAGCTGCAGAGAGAGATGGTGTTGCCTGGTGCTGTTAACAAAGTAGAATCTGATCTAAACATGTTTTGAGCACCTCACTTTTTTAAAGTTGAGAAGCTTAAAGTTCTTAGCATTATGTGTAATCTGGTCCCTAAATATTGGATGTGGATGGATTTTAAAGTGTGGTGTTATTGTTCTGGAATGCTGTGCAGTTTAGTTGATCTTGTCCAATTAAAAAAAAAAAAGATCTGGATATGCCGTAAGGTATGAAACTGTCTGAACTCTAAGTTTCTAAGATGTAAAGGGTACAAATGCTAAGATGAAACCAGTGCCTTCTGAAAATGTGTGAAAGTCAGTTTCCTAGCCAAAGGCTATATGTAGTGAATTTCTAGAATATATGTATTTCCAGAAGTCTGTACGTACATGGTAGTGTATATATATGTCCAGAGCCAGGAGAAGTTGGTCAGCATTTTCATGAAACAAAATTCTGCATCTTTTATGTCCATACTAGTAAACATATGTTGGCTGAAGAATATCATCCAGGCTGAGACTGGAGGTGAAGACCATCTCTCAAACTATTCCCAGTATAGCATGTTGAATGCTTATAAAATCTGTCTATAGATTAAGCCATGGAACCATAAAAAGTAAATGTTGCTAATATCTTTTCATATTCTCACTTCAGTCATAACTGGAATTTTAAGGCAGATCATAACTTAAAAATTCTTACACTGAAGAGTAGCTTGTTCTGCAAGTCTCAGTGATTTTTAACATGGTTACTCCAGACTAAAGTACTCCCCAGTGTATGCGTAGAAAGATCCAGTCCCTGATATTTAGGACATAGTCTATTGGAATTGTAACATGTTTGCAATTTTAACTTTTAAATCATTTAAAATGGGTAGCATGACTTATAGCTTACTATAAAATTGTAAACAACTTCTCAAATGAAGATGTGACAGTCTTTTCCTCTCTTTAATCCATTTTCTTTTTCCCCTCTGAGTAAACTTCCTCCCTTCTTTCTCTTTATACAGACTGGGTTTTTAATGGTTCCTACAATCATTCTCTTGACAAAAATGGAGAGAAGATGGAGTTGTGTATGCAACATATACAGCTTTCTTTTCTTGTAATCAGGCTTTATTTCATGTGTCTGCATCATGATGGTTATGACAGAAATACTGTTGTGGCAAGCATCCTGACTGCAGATTTTTAATGGGATCTCCCTTCTGTGCTCTTGATTCACGTAGATTCAATTCTCAGTGAATTTCTACAGTAATTGTTGTGTTTGGATATTGTATTATTTTCCCTTAGCTTGACAGTAGTCAGCAAGAAATTATGGCTGGTCGCAAAACTTTACAGATTTCAGCAGCAAATAGTTGTGGCAAAAACATCTCTGTGTAGCAGACAGATTCAGTAACTAGCAATATAATAGGGAAATTCAGATGTGTTTTGAGTTCATCATCTTGAGGTTTTTCTGAGACAGAAGACCTTTTATTCATTCCAGAGCTAATTTCCATCAAGAGAGTGGTTAAAAACTGTAGTTTATCTCTATTGTCTGATCCCAAATTTCTGGCTTAAAATTTCAGACCTGACCACAACAGACCACAAAATTGCCTTAACAAAAAGTCCAAGAAATGTCAGTGGGGGAATTTCTGGCCACCAGAGAGCTGTGCATGAGGATTTATTGGGTGCTCCAACAAAATTAAGAGCCTAAAGGTCATTGTAGCCAGCCTAGACTAAAGGAATCCCCCATGTATCAGTGGTGATGAGAACCAAAAGGAGTCCTTAAGGTATCTTCTTCCTCCTTGCTTTCTGTTCTGTGTATACCCTGCTTAGGATTCAGCCTTCATAGTTAACTACACACACGAGAATGCACAAAATAATATCCCAGTGAGAAAGAGAATGTTCCAAATATGGACTTATATAAGGAGTGTACAGAGATGGACAGAAATGGCATTCCCCTGTATGTTAAATGAGGTAATAAAATAATTGCATAAATGACTGTAGAATGGTGTAACAGGCACCAACTCTGAATACAAGCCAGACAGTGAGCAATACTGATGGGGAAGGAGCAGAATTTATGTGAGGCCCTGTGGAGGTTAATAACAGTTGTAATAAATAGTAAAGTACAGGAGAGCTGAACTGAAACTTGAATCTCTTTGCTACAGCTAATTACAGGCTCAGGTGGAAGACAACTACAAGTTTCTCCTCATAATAGTCTGCTTAGTTCAATCCAAGTAAATTAAGAATGAGATGCTTGGGAAAAAAAAAAGATAAACCATACTTCCTTGCTTGAAGTACAACATTCTAACAAGTGGTATTTTTTCCTTGACTGAATGATAATATAATGTAAGATTGTTACCTACCTTAAGTTCTCTAAAAAAGATGCTACTCCTAGCCCACTCAACAATGGAGAAGAGGGTTTGGTCAGCCATTTTACACATAAGCCCAAACGTGTTGAGCTTCTCGTGTTTGCTTCTGTTGGCTTGCTCTTGCTGCAGATATGCCATGATCTTAGCTTGGACTTGCGGCTCATCCGGCTCACATTTCAGGAGTTCCAATATCAGATGTGGAATACTTGCTGGTGAGCTTGTTTGATAACTATCCATGTACGAGTAGCCCATTATTGACTCTGGTGAACTGGTGTAAGGGTCAGGGTACTCGGACTTGATAGCACGGCTTGGAAAATGGCCATAGGTTTGGTAACCTTGCAAGCTGCCGTGGGGCGGCATTGTCATACTAATTGGAGAGGTTACAAAGGGACTTCGGTCATAGTCTGTAGGAGGCAAGGCAGTATGGTTCAGAGGTAGGCCTTTGGAGGCAGAATGGATGTTCTGGATTGCAGAGGATATTGTCAGGTCAGTCGGCATTGCTTGGATCACCTGAGTCATGGCTTCCAGTTTAAGTCCATTTGCTCGGATAAGAGCTTTCTTCTGCTGCTTCAATGCCCTGTCTCTCTTGTACATTGGTCCAAACTTGTTTCGACCGCCACGCATTCGGTCAGCTCGCACAGCTGTCAGGGGAGAGGAGTAAGTAAATCATAATTAAAACTTGGAATCAGCATTCTTTAACGAAACATACATTAGGACAGAGCAGAAATGTAAAAATGTAACTCCTTTTTTTTTTTTTCCCAAATTCAAAGTAGCACTTTTATTCCTAAAGAAAAAGATTTATTTTGACTTAACAAATGTCACTTTTTTCTGGTAATTTAAATATCACATGCATATATTACTAACATAGAAGGACTTCTCTTTACATTGATTAGGACACAGGGACAAACACAATGGTTGGCTACAGGAATTTCACACCTGCTATGGGATCATGTGGAGATCTCAATGTATATTTGGTTTTATGTCAAGCTACTATGTCATTAAGAAACAAGGGCTGATGTCCAGAACTTGTCTGAGACGTATCCAGCGGACCACATTGTCTCATTATAATCATTCCATTACTGCCTTCCACCGCAGCAAAACATCTGAAATGTAAATTGTGAAATGTTCAGTAGTCATGAAGGGGAATACGTTTTTCTTGGCAAAAAGGAAATATTTCCTTTTGATGATTCTGTTCAGGTTGGTGTAAAACTTTAAGAGATTTCTAGTCAGCTGAACAGCTCTACAGAAATGTTTAGCTGCAGTTGGAATGTGCAGAGACAAAGCTGTCAGCTTGCTGCCTTCCACCCAGAAGGTGGAAGTGAAACAGAAACTATTGACATGCTTCTGGCTTGTAATATCTCTGGAATTAGAAATAATTAAAACAAATCCACCTAAACAGCTGCCTTGGGAGTCATACTGGTGGTCTCTGTCACAGCAGTGTCTGTCACCATGGTATATATGTAATGGACTAGCAAGGAGCTCTCACCAAGCCCACCTTGCCCGACGGCAATTAGATTGAAAGAGGAACCTTTGACAGCCTGGTGACATGTTGAGACTGCTGAGATTGCTGGAGGTTAAGTTCTCGAGCTTTTTATCTTAGGGATTAGTAGAACATTAAAAATTTATTATGAATGCTAGATATGCATAATACTGTACATTATTATAAGGACTTTAACGTTTAATGATTTTTTTGGTCCATGGTAATTTATGAACTAGACTTTAAGGCTATATATATCGCTATCAGGGAAATACACATATAAATGTCGCAAGTATTTACAGTTATGGAAGCACCTGTTCTTCCAATTTTCTAAACAAAGGAAAAGAAGTTGTATGGATGTGTGGATAAGGAAGCTAAAGTACATTTTCTAGAGTATCTTTAAAACTACTGGCGCTTTGCTTAAATTTGTAGTAAAATTGCTGCTGCTAATATTGCTGTTGATTTTGAGCAAAATGTAGGAAACTAAAATAATTAAATCACCATGCTGGTAAATGTAATTAACTTTAAATCTGTATACATAGCATCCTCCCAGGTATTCTACAATTAAAAACTGTGAGCCAAATTGGATTAGCAAGTGCTTTTGTGTAACTCCTACAGAAATTAAGGTGAACTGCATGTAAGCACAGAAGACAAAATTTGGTCCTGTATCATTGTCAGCAATTGAGAGGAGTTAAAAGCAGGAGTAGGTAAATATATTTTATCCTTATTCTTAATGTCAGCAATGAGAAAAGGATTCCAAATGTCCTGTCATTGTGCTATTTGAATTTGGAAGAACATGCGGTGATTCAGGATGTTTAGTGCAATGTGTCAGTGCTAGCTCAGTCCTGTGGGCAAATAGAATAGTACTGAATCCATCAAACTGCAGGAGGCCGATTTTTCTGTTTATCTTCAGTTATATCAACAGCTTTCCTTTGCCACACGGAGATAATTGGGTCTTATCCTTTATGGTTCCCTTAATGGTTTATGGTTTCCCTCCTTGGCCTGATTTTTCCTGGTTAAGCATCTAGGGTGAATGCCATTTCAGTACAATGGTAAGAACAAGGAATTTAGGAGCTTGTCCTTGGTCAAGCAGAAATGTCATTTGCTGTGAAATCTGAATTTTAACATTTTATATATCAAAGTTAGAATGAACTGCGTATGATTCTCAAATTCCAGTTGATGATAATTTTGCATTCGGTTATCTCAAAGGGTATTGTACACTTTTCTCTGTTCTCTGTACATGAGAAAGTGAAATGAAGTCAAAAAGTATACTTCAAAATGCCTTATTCTCTTTCATTTGTAATAGCAGCTCAGGTGTAGCCTCACAAAAATATAGGACACAACTTTAGAGATTATTTGGTTCCTTAATCTCAAAGGTAAGTTGGTGTGAGAAAAACCCTTATTTTATCTGTTTCTCTGTTTTCTGCCTTACTGTCAGAAGAATACACATATAAAAAACCATTCCCAGATAAAATATAAATAAAATCCAATAACTCTCCATAGCAATGACTAATTTTTTTTCTAATCTGGACACTTCTTACATATTTTATGCTTAACGTAAATTAAGACTTTTTAAAAAGCTGCAGAACTATTCTATCTAGATCCATTCATTCACAAACTCTAAAATACTGAAATATCAAATTATATACATACAGGAAAAAATGGATTATGGTTTTGAGTAGCTGTTAGTGATTTACCATTTACTCATCAGAATTTTTTTTATAAAGCAACAATGTCATTGACTTAGCATTTTTTCATAAAATAGCATGTAATAACATACGTAATCCTACCATTTTCAAAATTAATCTATAGTATAGTTGACAATATCAGCAAAGACTATAGCTCTTACCTTCCAATTTCATTCCAACACTTAGACATTTTTGAAATCGACAGTAAGGGCATCGTTTTCTCTGTGTTTTGTCAATCTGGCAATTCTGATTTTCTATACATGTGTACCTTTTGTTATTCTGGACTGTTCGCTTAAAGAATCCCTGTATGATAGATACAAAAGTTAGCCTGTTTTGCTTGAATAGCGTGTTTCAGCATTTTATTTTATGGAAATCATTGTAACATATTTTTCAGACACCACTCAAGCACTTATGAAGTTACATAGTTTATTTTAAATTTCAGTGAGATGTACCCAGGAGGAAACCACCAGACTCCAGAGGAGGTTTTCTTGTGTTGGTGCTATGTTTTACAGACTTATGTCAAAGCTTGGTACGACTGGCTGTAGTCTCCTGTGCCCCTAGCAGTGGTAGCAGAAATAGTGAGGCTGGCCAGTTCCTTTTGTACTCTTTAATCATTGCAAAATTATTAAAGTCTTCCTTTGAAAGTAGTTTTACGTGAAATAAGTAGGGACACCGTTGCAAAGATAACAGATAGCCAGAGTACCTCTGGCTACTGTACATCCCAGTGGTGCATGCTAGAGGCATAGTAAGTGCCTGCTGTTCATTTCTCATTGATTATTTTTTAATGAAAATATAATGTGCTAAGTTAATTTTTCCATGCAACTAAATATTTTAAATTGCATTGTTCTGGCAAAGGAGTTTCCTTTACGGTGCATTACTTAAATAACCGTAAAGAACTTTAAAAAAATTTTACATGACAAATTTGACATGTCATAAATTTGTAAGTATTTAAACCCTTTAGTATAATAGAACCATGCAGATACATTTATCTTCCAATATGATAAGCTGCATTTACAAATATTTTATTCTCAAAATTAATGAATGATCTAAACCAAATCGTACATTACTTGACTTTGTGTGTCAAGTGAGCTCTGACAGTTATAGTTTGTATGAAAAAAGTGCATGGTCATTATAGTCACAGAAAGTTACATCGTAATACTGAAGGATGAAAATAACTTGAGAAAGCTGCATTAGATTTTGCAAAGCTCATCTGTATTGAGGATACTTTTCCTACCTTATCCTCCCGGAACAGAAATACTCTGCATATAAATCAACTAAAATCAATATTTAGGACAGTTAGGAATGAAAGTTGCTCTAGAACTACATCACTTCACAACAGCAAAATACTTAAAAGCAACGATAAAATTACAACGCAAACCAGTCCAAGTTGTTTCCATTTGTGCAGATGAGATCTCTCCAAGAGACTTCTAAATCCTAAAGCTTTTTGGTGGTTAATTTTTTACGTGAATGTAACAAGAAACATATCAGAAATAAGCCAAATTATTACACGACTGTTTAATTATCATCTCTTCTGCTTATATTTGAAACTTTTTGCTGTACTTATGTTTGTATGAAGTAATTAGTACAGAACCTTGCAGCTTTCGCAGGTGAGAAGTCCATAATGGTACCCGGACACTTTATCTCCACAGACTGGACACAGTTCCTCAAGGTCTTCATCGTAAGAGTAATTCACCATTTTAAACTGAGACACTGGGGAAAGGAGAAATAGCACGTTCAATTAGAATTTACATTCGTAACTCCAATTTTCTGGAACTGTTCTCATCTAGAGAGAAAGCTCACTGAAACACACATGCCACTGCAAACTGGGGGGGGGGGGAAGTCTTATTTTTAAACACACAGCTTGCATTGAGACAGGCAACTTTTCATCAACAGCAAATCTGCATGGTACTTAGCAAGTGGAACAAACACCATCGGCTCCTCAGTTTTATGTTGTAAATACTTGTATTTACAGAGTGCCCTTAACCTAGTCCTTAGTTTATGGAATCACAAACTAAATGAATTCATCTAAATCCGAAAATGGTCAGGGGCAAGCTTTAAAAAGGCAGAACGAACAGATTAAGTGTCACTTGTGTATTCAAAGTAACTCAGTTCGTTTCCTTTAAAGTTTTCCTTCAACATCAGCCTGCAAATATTTACTTAGCCTAAACTTGTATCTTACAGACCCAGCACTTTTGCGCGGCGTTAAATGCAAGTTACTTACTTGCAAAACCAGCTTAAAACAACGTCCTCCGCGCCCCCCAGGCTCGTTGTCTCCGGGGGGGCGCCCCCCCCCCCAGCCCGCGCGCTCCCCCCACGACCGCCAGCTGCACCAGACCCCCCTCCCCGCTGGGCCACAAATACAGCAGGTAGGACCTGCTGCGGTGATAAGTAACAGCACATAGACACCATCCAAACAGGGGCTTCAGAAATCAGCCCACCAAACAAAAAGCCTTTCATACGAGTCCCAGAGTTGGGTGCAGTGTGACCCAATTCATATGTAACCATACAACAGTTTCCCATTAAATACTGATGGGAGTATCTCCTGAGGTAAATGCAGACATTTTTTTCCAAGCAGATGATGTTATTTACTGCACAAATATACATATTTTAATGTCATATGTAAGCTCTTGCAATAAGCGAACGAGTTCCTGGTTGTGGGCAGGGCCGTGCCAAATACTGAAGCAGACCTTCCTTACCAAACACAGTCCTGCTGTTGCCAATCGCAGTTTTGGCCACTTTTTGTCATGCAGTTCATTAGAAATCACTCACATGTTATAAAACTGTATTGCTAAATGCCTCGTTAACTGATCCAAGTCAAAGTCCCTGCATGTTTGATTCATTCTCCAAACAAAGACTGATTTTCCTATGAAAACAAACCACTACATGCTTCTCTTCACCCCTTAGGCAAGAGGATTTCTGGAGGTGGTTTTGTTTGTTTTTTTTTTTCCTTAAAGGTAACATACTTGATTGGAGAAACCGTTTTAAGACTTGAATCAAAAGAAAAATCTATTAGGAGCCTGTGTTCTTTACTAGGGCAAATTAGGAAAAAGTTGTATTTAAATCAATCAGTTCACATTTTTCCTTGGCAACATGTTGTAGAAGGGCTACAACCCCAGAAAAGCCAGCCAACACTTAGCAGGTCTGCCTTTTAGCTGCCCCAATTTTTGCAAAGCAGTAAAGAAATGCAGCAACACAGTCACACAGATAATGCTGTTGGAATTCCTCTGCTAACTCCCTGGTGCATCACTGCTCACTGTAGCAAGGTGCATTAGGTAGCAAATAGTTGTTCTAGGTACAAAGGTGCAGAGAAAATGCTGAGCATTACATAAAGGAAGGAACTAGACAGCCTTCCATGTGTGCATTGCAGCTGTGCATCACCTATAGATCACAGCAAAATGCCCCCCGTCCATCCCTCCCAACGCCCGCCAGCACAGAGCCGCTCCGTGCTTCAGTGCTGAAGTGTCTAAGAAGTGTTGTCAAGTGGTGCTTCCCTTCACTCCTTCCATCTGGACGATGATTAAGTTAAAAAGCCATTAAACTGGAACAGTTAGGCACTCCTGCTGGTACAGATATTGCTCACTTATGGGACTGCCGCGCAGCCCTGCCAGGGCTCGCTGCCCAGCCGGGGGGTGATGCAGGGCAAACCAGGGCCCGGCGCAGGGCTGGGGTGCCATGAGAGCACCCAGCTGGGGTGGCTCGCCCACGCTGCCTGACAAGTCGGCAGGGAAATGGCAGCAAGGGGCGGGG